AGTTTTTCAATGGCCGGTGAAAGTGAACTGCATTGAAATGCCTGTTGATCGACGTGTCAAATTAAGCCTAAGGGCCGAAGTGCGCATAAAGGCGGAGGAAAAGGAAAACTGAAAAATTTAACCTGGGAAATGTGAAATTTGAGAAGGAAGTAAAAAGAATTGAGTTTCAGGAATATGAAGAAAAAAGGAAATTTTAAAAAATTGGCCTGTTGCCGAGCCTTTGAAACCGAATAATCTGCTTGCTTGAGGCCACCCTTGTAAACTCCCATTCTTTAAAAATCGTTTTCGAGAATTTTCGATTTTTTCCAATATTTTTTCTGAAACTTTTAAAATGTTGCACGACTCTGATATTATCTGAGGAAGCACTGCTCGGATTTTCATAAGGGACTGGGGAAACAAAGGGGAGGTTGGGTAATGTCCGGGTGCTATAATCGTTCATACTAGCCTAATTACACAGTTACCAAAAATTGATCGTTTTGTTTCCTGCTCAGTTCTGAGCAGTAATAATCTTTACTTGTATTCTGTGGGAGCAATATTTTGGCCAAGATTTTTTTGGGAGAAAGTACTTTTGTTAGTTTAAATTGTTATATAGTTTATAGAAAATGATAATTTACCACAGGTGATCGGCGGGGGAGAGGTATTGTTACCTCAGGTTTTACTTTGCGTGATACAAATGCAACCTCCTGGGGGCACAGGTGTCTTCTCCCGTGGTACAGCTATCTCCTAGTAATTCTGATGTTCTGCGGAATGTGACTTTTCTTTCTCAATAGGCTTTTGCTGTTGAATTTCTGAGCAAGAATTTGATAGTTTTGTCGGATTATTAGGAAAACATGCCTTCCAAATGTAAACAGTGAACAAAATAGAGTGACGTAAAAGTATGAATTGAGCTCACATTTTCTAATAGTTTTGTCTGCTTGCATTTTCTTTCTTTTCCAAATGCCCCTTCATGTCCTCATCGACGTGTAACGATTTGCGCTTGTGGCTAGGTTATAAACAAGCCAAGTTAATCCATAATAATTTCCAGTGAAGAAGCTGTTGTTGGCAGGCACTAGGTGTCCATGGCAGTGTTTTCTTGCAAGCTAAGCTCGCTTTCAGCCTGGAAACAGATTACCACTGCATACAGCTAAGCAGTAGTTTTTTAGACTACATTTCGAGGACACTAGTACCTCTAAGCAAGTAATTAAACGCTTAAAAAAATATTAGGACTGCCCATAAAGTCAGTTTGGAGGCTCATTGTTAATAATTTTATTGGGGTGCTCCTAAATAGCAGGCGCAGCTTGTACAAGGCCATTTGATCTTGATCTGCATATCTTCCAATTAATTCTTACCAGCTGTCTACTTTGTGTCACCTCTTTGGAGACCTTCCTCGAGGCATTCTTTCCCTAGCGAGTATTACTCACTAGTATACGTTGATTCCCGGTTCTCAGCAAAGCAAGGAACTTTTTCGTCGAATTTTGCTTTCTCGCATGATCGCAGTGATAATCTGCAAGTGGCTCAGCTGACGTGGAATCTGCCTGTTGCTCGTCATGATGAGATGCTCTGCGCATCCTTCGCTTCACTGTTTCTCTGCAGCTCTGGGCGTTCGCTGTTCTGCTTTCGTCACTGACCACGTTTCACCTCCGCACTCTTTTCTACGTAATGGCATTGGAAAGGTGGACGCATTCTTTTTGGTTCAACATTTTAGAGAAATAGGCGGTGCTGCAAAATTTCCTTTATTCAGCATCTTTTTTTTCTTGCAGCCTCCTGCTTTTCATTGTAACATGCATTCACTTGTCGAAACAGAAGTAACTATAAAGCTCATCAGGCTTAAACCAGCTGTCTGTAGTGTGCCACAAGCATATTGGTATTTTGCGTCATCTTCGTTTTCGATACGTTATTTTCAAGCCCATTTTATGCGTTGAGCCCCTGCAGCATTTCGTTCATTTTGTGAGCATTGCTTGCAATAAGAACTATGTTATGTAGGAAGTGTGAATAGCTTATTTGTTCACTTCCGGTTGCTTTGCATTTCAACTTGCGACCTTTTTTTCCGATGCGCGATGTGAAAAGCTTCTGTGATGTTCACGCCACCATCGATAGGGCCCTAAAAGCTTTGCGCTGTGCCGAATAAAATGAATTAAATTTGTTTCCGGCAAATAATAGCGCAGTACATCAGTGGGAGAGGCCAAGAGATGCTGGAATCGTAGTGCTGTCGTTGAAATGATTCTAGTGCTGTTGTTGCAGATGTCCTCAGTGCTCGTTGGCGGTACAGATGTTGCTGCAGGTGCAGCCCAGGCAGCTTCACTCAGTAGTAACAGCAAATATCGCTCCTATGTTGCGGCGGTCGACAAGGCACTGAAAGCTTTTGAAGCAACCAATGAATGGGCCGACTTGATCTCAGCACTCGAAAAGCTCAAGCGGGTACGCCATTCTCCTCCGAATCTTACTTTATCATCCTTCAACTCAGGAGCTACTGGAAAGATGCGTGTGTGCGTGTGTATGTGTATGAGTGTGTGTGCCTGTCTGTCTGGGTGTTTGCTTGTGTATTTGTGTGAAAAAAGATTGGGAGAGGCCTTTTCTTGGAATCAGTTCTTTCAGACATCCTGTTTTTCTTTATGCATCCTTGCGACTAAGTCATAGCTTTAAATGTGTGCAAATTACAGGTATTTCAAGCAAATGCAAAATTCGGTGATATCCCAAAGGCGGTGACGGTGGCAAAGCGCCTTTCGCAATGCCTTCATCCGGCCCTCCCACATGGCGTCCATCTAAAAGCGCTGGCAACGTATCAGCAACTCTTCGATATCCTTGGCCGCAAAGATCTTCCCGAATTACTTTATCTTTTCGCTGTTGGACTTTTTCCG